GGTGGGCCCTTGAATGCCTTCCACTTGACCTCGTCTAGATAGAGGTGATTGGCAAAAAGAGCTGACACAATTGAAGGGTTTAGAAAGAATGAGGCTTAAAGGGGTGGGTTACAGGAAGTTCTACAGGAAAGCAGCTAAATTAGGGTGTGAGGCGATTTCCTGCAAGCTGCCATAAGCCTTGCCCAAATGGAATACACTCGGGCCAGGAGCCTCCGCGCTCTCAGATTTAAGCAAACCTGAAACCACTTGAGGGGTGTTTCGGCTTGTCGTTCACCAGGTTACCGCGAAACACTAAGGGCCCGCAAGCCCGGTAGCCAACCTCCAAATTAACGGGGGAAATCTAGATATGGAGGACCCATCCCGGAATCCTCCACACGCACCTCGACACCCTTAGGACAAAGCTTTGATACGTCCCTTCCAACCAACCACCTGCTTTCCATTCAGGAAACCTGCAATCAGCTCCATCATGAAAGCTTAAGCTTTTGGGGCCAGGACTCAAAACGGAAACCCACAAGTGGAAACCAAAAGCTTCAAAGGTCGATTCGCTTTGGGCCACTGAGAACCCCCCTCGCCCCTCCCTTCCCCAATGGTTCCGACGCGTTCGTGGACGCCTGGCTCGATCCGCGCCGCCCAGGCGCCGCAAGCGCAGCGCCTCTTGGATCCCGCTCTGCAAAGGCCAGCCGTTGGCATAGTGGCTGGCCACCACCTCTCCTGGGGGTCGAGTCTGGGTGCGTGAGTGGGTGGGGGCTGCGGCTAGCCAAATCAACTTCTCAGGTTGGGTGTTCATAAATGGAATACGGGATTCTTGGACATCAAGAAGCGGCTCTGTCTAGCTGTCCGCTAGGAGGATTTGATACTTTGGCTGGCTAAGCCTCTTGGCGAACGCTGAAGCTCGCCAACTTTGATAACCAAAACTGATCAGTTGCACTGTTTCGAGTGGTTGAAACAGGCAAGCATTTGTTTTGGGGCTTGATTCCACTTCTTTGCCACAATCCGCCACACAAACGGAAAAGTGGCAATGAACAAGTGGGGTGAAATAGCCCATTTTACCAACCCTCCAAACCCCAAACCACGCCGTTTAAATAACGCGATTCAGGCCTTGATTCAGGCCTTATTTTGCCCTTCTTCCAAGGCAACCCTTGCGATCTCGTTAGCTCCGTCCCGGCTTTGCAATTCCAGGGGTAAATCAAACCTGACTTCCCGGAAGGCCACCAAGGCCAGGGAATGACCCGAGCTATGCTTCCCAATCCAAACGGAGGTGCCTAAGGGCAAAAGGCGTCGACTGGCCTTGGCCTCCCACGAGCTCCATATCAGCTTGTGGTCTACCCCTTTCAGCCAAACATGCTTCAGGTGCCGTAGCCCTCAGCATGATCTCCAGTTGAGGAGGAACATGAGCGGGCCCTTGCGTTTCTGCTAGGCAGGTCAAAGCGGGTTCCTTTGGTATCACTGAAGCTGGCCCCAAAACTATGAGCCAGAAAAAAAGTGTCGTGTTCCAGCGCAGCCCTCATTGACCATGATGGCAGGCGAAATTTAGGCAGAAATAAACAATCATAACAATAACAAATGCAGTTGTGAAAAGGATGCTCTGAAACATGAGTTGCAGTTCCCCGTGGGTTTTCGATCAGGCTTGCCATGTTTTCGGCGGCTGGCGTTGGTTCCAGGAAAAAAACAATGGCCCTGAAACTACTACAGTTGGCTGAAAGATTTCACAATTCCCATACGTTAGTCTACTTTCCTCAAGGTAGTTGCGCCACCTACTTTGCGGTTTTCCGTCCATGGGCCCATCTCAAAACACACGCGACACGAAAGCCCTCTCCTGCAGCTGAAGCGGCGTGGAGAGTGTTGATGTAGATCCTTGGACGACCACTTGATCAGCTTGCCGTCTGCTTTTCGTGCGCCAATGTAAACATGACCAGTCATTCCAGAAAGCCTGGGGGGATTCGAGCTCTGGGATGGACCATTCAAGGCCTCCTCCCTGGAACCCTTCCTTCATTGCAAAAAGGTTGGGCCCAGCCACTCTTCCCCCCTTTGTTGAGACAGTCCCCCACTGCCCCCGCTTTTGGCTTCTTAGACTTCCTCTATGGGCCGCTCAGCGCGTTGGGAAACCGAGGGTCTCTAACAAGGTGTTCCACTTCTCCTCCTCCTCGAAGTATGCCGACTCCAACTTGAGGAGGACCTTGTTCAGACACTTGGCGCTTGGAAGCTGACCAGTGGGTGGACGGGCCAGACAAGGTTGAACTTCTTGGGCCTTGACTGAATGACGAAGAAACCAAACAGCAAAGAGCTCTTCAAGTTTGCAAACACAACTGAAATCAAAGGACACCGTGGACTAACTGTTTACCGTTGCGTTTTGGTCGTTTGGAGCCCAGCGACCCTTTCATTGGCCGGGGGTATGCCGCGGCCTTGGTGGACCAGAATGCCCTGGGGCAAACGGAAGTTGATTTGAGCTTGTTGGGACGCAATCCAAAGACCTGGACTGAAAGTCACATAAACTTGGCCTCAGCCTGAGGCCGCCTCAGGCGACGCTTGTGGCGTTGATGCGAAAACTACTTGGGTTCCAGCATTTGGCCTTGCAAAGCTTGTGCAAACTCGCGCTGGTTTGTTTGACTTTCTTGGGGGGCTCTCCCAAGCTTCCGTCTTAGTTCCCTTTCAGAACTACCAAAAAACAGGACACACACACACGCCCACCCACGCGCACGCGCGCAAACAAAGAAAAACATGGCTGCGTGTCCTTCTCTTAACCACAACGAATGGTGAATCTGTTGCTCATCACCTCTATCTTCCAGTGTTGCACTGTTGCATTGTGCAGATTCACCACACCGCAACTGTAAGCAACAAATGTGGAGCTAATCTATTGCTCCCTTAGTCCAGCACGCCTTTTTAGCAGATTTGCCCCGAGTTCAAGCTCAGCTGCTCCTGCACCCGGCTGCTGTCTCCGCCGAGTGCCGGACGACCCCAGGTCACAACATCCCCACATTCAAGAACGGCAGCAAAAGCACCCGCGCGGTTTGCTTGGATGTGCTGGACGTTCCTCAGCTGCTCTTGCACCTGGCTGCTGTCTCCGCCGTCTACAGGACCACCCCAGGTAACAACAGCCCCAGATTCAAGAATGGCAGCAAAAGCATGGGCAGTTGCTTGGATGTGCTGGACGTTCCTCAGCTGCTCTTGCACCTGGCTGCTGTCTCCGCCGTATTCAGGATTGCCCCAGGTCACAACGGACCCAGACTCAAGAATAGCAGCAAAAGCACGCTCAGTTGCTTGGATGTGCTGGACGTTCCTCAGCTCCTCTTGCACCTGGCTGCTGTCTCCTCCGTGTTTTAGATACCCCCAAGTCACAACAGCCCCAGATTCAAGAATGGCAGCAAAAGCAAAGTTAGTTGCTTGGATGTGCTGGACGTTCCTCAGCTGCTCTTGGACCTGGCTGCTGTCTCCGCCGTGCTCAGGATAACCCCAGGTAACAACAGCCCCAGATTCAAGAGTGGCAGCAAACGCGTGGACAGTTGCTTGGATGTGCTGGACACTCTTCAGCTGCTCTTGCACTTGGCTGCTGTCTCCGCCGAATTCCGGCCGGCCCCAGGTCACAACAGCCCCAGAATCCAGAATGGCAGCAAAGGCAAAGGCATTTGCTTGAATGTGCTGTACATTTCTCAGTTGCTCTTGCACCTGGCTGCTGTCTCCGCCGTATTCAGGATGTCCCCAGGTCACAACGGACCCAGACTCAAGAATAGCAGCAAAAGCACGCTCAGTTGCTTGGATGTGCTGGACGTTCCTCAGCTCTGCTTGCACGTGGCTGCTGTCTCCTCCGTGTTCTGGATAACCCCAAGTCACAACAGCCCCAGATTCAAGAATGGCAGCGAAAACATCGTCAGTTGCTTGGATGTGTTGAACGTTCCTCAGCTGCTGCTCTTGCACCTGGCTGCTGTCTCCGCCCAGTTGTGGATGGCCCCAAGTGATGACAGCCCCAGATTCAAGCGTGGCAGCAAAAGCACCAGAAGTTGCTTGGATGCACCGGATGTTCTGCACGTTCCTCAGCTGCTCTCGCACCTGGCTGCTGTCTCCGCCGAATTCCGGACAACCCCAGGTCACAACATCGCTCCCATGGCCATGCAAAGCAAACGCCGTTCCAGTGGCAGCTAGCTTGCATAGCTGAACCACCGCAGTTAGCACGTCCCCATTTGCCAACCCGGCTTTTCTCACTGTGGCAGTCAAGTCGAGCTGCTGGCCTTTCCAAGTGAGCTTCAGCGGGCGCTGAAAATGCTGCTGCGCAGCAGCCTTCAGCTCGCTGATGAGTGTTGCGGGTGAGACTTCTATGGAGCAACCATCTCCACTGGGCAGGTGAACATCCACCTTCATGGCGCAGGAAGGGTCTTCTTTGAGTATTCAAGTTGCTCAACACGAACCTGAAACACAAACAAGTACATTGAGGTGGCTGTTGAAGGGATCCCCGCCGTTTGCGAGACCTCCAATGGCTTCCATACCATACAAGCAAGCCATTGCCATTGCCATGTTTGGCGAAACTCAATGATTCTGATAGTCTTGCTGGTTCTGAGCAGGGGATGAGAAATGAAATGACCACGACTATAAACCATCCCCCTCTGGTTCCTTTAAGGGAATCCCTAGGTTCATTCCCAAAACCCGGAAGGTCATTCCCTACCTATCGCACCAGGTAGCGGTGGATCCCAGTGAACTCCAGGCAAAAGCGACAACTCGTGGAGGGCACTCGTGCCGCTGGTCATGTGAGACCAAACAAGGGAAACCGCTTCCAGCTGGAGTACAAAAAATAAGGATTGACGTTGAATATCAATGACCATTGAAAACAATTGTATGGAAATGGGTCAATGGCCACTGATCCTTGGCCATATCATCTTTCACTTGGCAAAACAAATCATTGACCATTGCTCGTTATGGTCCCGCCTTTACAGCACCCACAGCGAGTCCTGAGAAAAAAGAACGCGGCCTGGCTAGTGCGGAGATCGCCTTTTGAAACGAGCCCTTCCGACGAACGTAGAAGTCAACAGGTCGCTTGAATGGGAACTACAACACGACTTGCACTCTTCAGTCAGGCTTCATTCAAGCTGGGTGATACTATTTATTTTACCAGCCTCAGTGCGCTGCTGTGCTTTCCCAAATCGGCTTAGCATCGAAAGCAAGCATACAAACAAATCCAAGTAGAATGAAGTAGATGACCAAACTGATTCATGTCCACCTCTTTCTTTCCCCTCGTGCTTCTTCCCAGATTCTCAACGTGTTCAAGCTTTTGCGCAGCTAGCCGATCATCGATCCGGTGTCTCTCCAAACGGAGGAACCCCGAATGAAGTCGCTTCACGTTTCCCTTGAAACCAACTCACTTCCTGAGTGGATTTGCAAAAAGAGTTTTTTTGCTGTGTATCCCCAAGATGGTCCAACCCCAAAATGTGCCCGAGGCCCATAACCTCCATAAACTCAGGGAGTGAGGAAAGGAGCACCTCCGCAAAGGCGCACAAATTATTTCTGGCATCTTTTGCAAGGCGCCGCAAGCAACGCCCCTGGAGGGCAGTTGCTGTAGATGGTCTGAAAGTTGTTGACCAGGAGCGTCATGTCCTTCCGGCTGCATTCGGTTTAGTCAGTTACTCCCATTGGCTTGAAGTCCCGGTGCATTGGATTTGAACGGGCCCCGGGTTCTTGTAGAGGCTAAGTGGGGCTTACCACCCCAGAACACCACCAAACCAGCACACCAAACCGCCAATTGGAGGGAAGTGGATTTAGACCGGTTTAGTGTTCTCACAAAGTTGTCAAACCCAAACCTTGCAACCCAAGCCCAAATCTAGAAGCCATGCCCAAGAAACATGGATCCTTGCAGAAAAACCAAGCCCCGAAAACCGGGTGGGGGGTGGGGTGGGGTTCCAACGGTGTGTGCAATGAGGAACCCTCAAGTCGGCTTAAATCCACCCCCGCTGTTGGCGCCGGACACGTGGCGCTAAAGTTGCACAATCCGGCAGCCAGTGCTGCATCTGCGTGGTTTGTACTTGAGAAGGGCAAACACGAAAGGTGGGATACCAACAAGGGATTCTCCTAAACAATGGAACGTCCAGAGACAAAGTCTGTAGGTGTTGGTGCTAAAATTGAGGCACCCCCAGCACCGCTAATTGTGCAGAGCCCACTATGAAGCAAACGAGCACTGAGTGTCCCATATCAACTGCAGAACAGGGTGCACCATGGCTTGACTTTGTGGACCGGCCTTGAAACACAAGAGTAGGGCGGTATTTCATTGGTTTTGCCGGGCCGACCTCCAGACCCCCTCAGTCTAGCCTTGCTAACGCAAGGACAAATACCTCTCCCCCGAGCCGCACCCCCAACAAGTTGTGAGGCTAAGCCGTGCTAGCAACTGAGGCTAAGTAAGGCGCAGTCGCATCCGTCAGCCTGCGCCTCCCCAGCCCAGTCCCTCGGCTCGCTTGGATCAAATTTTCTGGTGCCTGATCTGGCGCTCGGATAGAGGCTTCTTGGGCCATCCTCCCCCTCCCCCCCGGCCAAGAACTTCTCACGCACGTCACACCCACCAATCGCGAAAGCAACACGCGAAGCGGTCAGCGGTCATGGAAGAGCCGGAGGCTGGCGACCCGCTTCTCGTACCAGTTGCTGGCGCGGGTCTTGAAGACCTGAGCGCTGTTGAAAGCCCGCGACTCGACGGGATTTGACAAGTGGCATTGAGAAGAACATCCACCTCCATTTGCTGAAGCTCCATGGAAAAGATGATGTATGTCCAGTAGCGAGATAAATTGAGATACTGGATTCCGTAAAAAAAAATGTGGAAATAACACATATTCATTTCAGCAAATAAAACTCCTAGTTGGACCCTGTAACCCTTGGACCCATGGGTTACTTGTCGACCTTCTTTAGCGGCACCTGGAAGTCCTGGTGTGAGCAGTCCCCGTAGAACTGCGGAGCTGCCTGGGGCTGAAAGCATGGGCGCGGCGAGAAACCATTTGCCTTTGGCTTCAAACCAGTCTCCACGATCCTGAAATGGAGTCTACCCAAATTGATCTCCCAGGTACCCTCCGCTGCTATGTTGGTGGGGAACCTATTTGCGCTCCGAGCCCGCAAGGAGCTTAAAGCCCGATCACCTTTTGGAGGCCAGCCACGAATCGATCCCATGTGCCTCTCCAGGGTCACGGGCGAAGGTCAGCCAGCCACGCGGATCCTCACGGTCGTTCCTTCTGCCTGTCCCCTTTGGTTGAACAAAGGGCACCACCTGCCTCAAATACCCTCAGGGACCCAGAATCAAAAGGATACTGGTTTGAAACCCTAGACTCAAAATCCAAAAGAAAACCAAAGGTGAACTGTTTGGCTTTGGGGGTTTCAAGTTAGACATTACAGCGTCCGAGGAACCGGGCTCTGTTTCATTGATGAAACTCTGCGTCCACTTGTAAACCTTTGGATGTCATGTACATGAGGGTTATCCAAGCGTGGGACATCCAGAAACCATTGCCTTATGTCTTCTGACCCAGTTCCAAGGCCGCCACCTGTCCCGTGACCCCCCATAACGCCCCCCCCGGCATCTTCAGGAAGAGAGGGAGGGTGGGTCACATTTCCCAACCGTATCTGGGCTCCAAAGGAAACCATGGAGCCATGGAGTTCTGAAGAAGGGCAACCACATGTCCTGAGGGAAGTCATTCGGCTCCAGAGTGGGCGTGCCGCAGGTCGCGTACTTCGAGCACCAACCTAGTCGCAACATTTGGAGCTCAATGGCCGAGAGGGGAGGTTGTACTTGAAGGTTCGGGTTGGAACAAACACAACAAGCAAACATGTTTACAACTTATTTGCTATCTCAAGTAGGTTTTCCTCCAATTGTGACCGAGCCTTCCGACTTTCTGACTTTCTCATTTTTCCCCCAGCCACTGAATACAAACCTCACATACAGTTGAAACCAGCGGTCACGCCCTTTATTGGCGGTTGGCATACCCGCATTTTCCCTTGGGAGCCTCGTTCAGGGATGGTGGAAATCTTCTTTTGCGAGAGCTGCGCGAACGGCAAAAGCAAAAGCCGCGTCTGCGTGCCGGCAAGCTTCCGTCGTTCCTTGGCCGGTGCGATGCACACTGCTCGGACTTCCGGCAGCGTTGATTGACTTGGCCCAGGAAAAAAACGTCCCAGCGGTTGCAACCCACTCCCAAGGGATAGATAGCTAAGTTGCAACCGTATGTGCCAATTGACCCAGACACCCTTGCAACTAGCTTTGTCATGGTTTGCCCAATTTTGTCTTGCAAGCCTGCAAGAAGCTGACCAGGTTTGCTAAAACTATTCAGCCAACTCGCAAATCACCCAAACAGGTTTGCAGTTTGCATCACAACAAACCCCTCAACCCCCTAACAAATCGTTGCCCGACGCATTTCCCACGGGCAGCCGAGCATCTGGTTGAAGGAGATGTGGGTACAGTATCTATCCTTCGCGCAGCTTCGGCCGGATTCGCCGGCCGTCCGCAGGACCAAATTCTTTCGCCGGAATCGAGGACATACGGTGGATGGACGACATCCTGCACCACTTTGAAACTATGAGGGGCCATTGTTCGTTGGTATTTACAGGGGAATCCACATTCTAGGGTTTCTTAGGTGGTGCAGGATTTCGTCCATCCACAGTAGGACATGTTTAGCAAGTTGGGCAGTAAAAACAAAAGTGCGTTCCGAAGCCCGTCCCGCCATGATCCATAGGGTAGACAATCACTTCCGAACGCTGAAACAAATCACTTCTGAACGCTGCCACTTTCGATCACTTCCGAACACTCCCCAAAAACACCTCAGAACACTCAGCACTCAAAACGCCGAAAGGGTTGCAAAACCCGGTCATGAACAAATGATCACTTGCGAACACAGGCGTCCCACCCTCTGAACTGTTTCATCCCAGCCAGGGTGTGCAAAATCCAATCAATTTGTTCTGGGGGATGGTAAGAACACCCGCTCAACTTAACCAGCCCAGCCTGCTCTGTAACCGAATGTGCAAATTTGGTGGGGTGGGGTGGGGTGGGGTGGGGTGGGGTAGGAAGCATGATAAGCACACCCGCTGACCTGCTTCATCCCAGCCAGGGTATGCAAAATCGGGGGGGTGGGGGGGGTGATCAGCACACCCGCTCAACTGACCAGCCCACTCTGTAACCAAATGTGCAAAATCATCTGTTTCGGGGGTGGTGCACACCCGCTCAACTGGGCTCTATGAGGGCAATTCTCTGCATGCCAACGTCAGGCTCTGCAAGCTGCTGTGAACATGCGATTTCCGAAGAAAACGCCTGGTGGGTCCCTCCCTTTCTCCCCCAAAACAAACAGAGTTTCCCCATACCCCAAACTTTGCTCTATGTCAACGAGGGCAAGTCTCTGCACATGCCAAACGCCAGGCTCTGCAAGCTGCTATGAAAGCGCGTGGACGCATGGGTGCCGATCCTTATCCCAGCGTTCAAGAGCGAAGCACTCGCTGGTGTCTCGGTGCAGCGCGTGGCATGTGGCTGCGCTTTCAGCGTTCCTAAGCGATTAGTACGTTTTCCGGCGTTTCTTCGGTTTTCCCAGCGTTCAGGAGCGACGCACTCACCATCCATAGACTCAGGAAACTTTGAAGTAATTTCATAGGTCAAACAGAACTGGATATCGGAGGCATGTCAAGCACCTGCAGTCCTCCTTTCTTTTCTTTTTTCTTGTTTGGGGGGGAGGGTCTCTGAAGCAGAACTTGCACACAAGGCTAAAGGTAAAAGCTCCTCTCTCCAATGAAACGCCTACCTATAATCAACCAGGAGTTCGTTCATCCAAGGTCGAAATGGATGTCCTTTTTGGCCACCCTGCTTGAGTTGTGGAGGTAAGCCAAAAGGACATCCAACCATCTCAGGGGCCCCGGTTCCTTGCGAGACACGCCCAGCACCCCACCTGAACACCCCAACCCCAACCGGCTCCTTGGTGCACTGCGCTTGGCACCCCACGAGGCTGTACCCATTGAAGTCCTCCCCGAGCCGCACCGCGCCGTTGCGGTTGTCGCACCACCGATCCCGCGCCAGCAGCGTGTAGCTGGCCTTGTCTCGACGGTAGGCACGAAGGCGCGCGTTCCGCGGGCATTTTTGTGGCTGAAAGACTCCCTCCAACCAAGTAACATGAAACCGTTCGACGTTTCGGGGAGTCCTGGTTTGGAGCATGTTCCTTTTCAAGGCCCCGAACGTCAGGCTCCATATTAATTGGTGGGAGGGTAGCCATGTGCTTCCTCAAAGGACCATAAACCGGATGTGCTGACCAAAGCTCACATGGGAGGTGAATCTGGCAACAGACCAAGAAAAGTTAGAAGCATGACCCGCAAATTAGCACGAGCAGCATCGGGTAGCTCCACACGCAATCTGAATGTGACCCCTGCTCCAAAAATCAGCGTTGCTTGGAAAGAGGTCGTGCGCTGCCTCGATACGGGCGAGCAAAGTCGGTGGGGCACAATCAAAGCCGAAAGCCTTGTCCAGAAACAACAGGCCTCTCCAAACAACAAGACGCTCCAGAGAAGTCGACGGCAACCAGCGTCCGGCACACTGTTTTCCACCACACTGCCTCAAGTGGGTGGGATCGTACCTGTTGGTCGATCAGCATATATTCTCTGGAGTCGTTGTCGGTGTCGCTTAGACACCACTCGAAAAGAGTACAACACATGAAAAGGTAAGCAAATGCCAAAAGCATGAAAACCAAAATGTTGTACAGCAAGGTATCGCGAGGGAGTGGACGTTCTCCCGTCCGCTCGATGAATGCTGAATTCAGTGACCGATAGGTACTGGAGGCATGCAGTGAAAATAAAGGTGAGGGGCGGTGGGAATGAAAAGATCGTTTCGCCAAAATGGCGATCAGTGCAAATGCATTTGTCTCATGCAATGCGCAGTACTTGAAATTCCAATTCAAGTACATGTTCAAGCCCTTTGGCTTGCAGTTGTTACTTTTAACACAGGTGTTAACCGCAACAAAGATCCCGAGTCCTTTCCGGACTCAAAGGTTAAACGAGCCCCATGACGACAACACTGGGTGGTTTGTACTGGGAACGCCGGACGATAAACCTGGTTAATGGGGGGGGGTGTCTCCTTTTAGTGGGGGTAATCACTTGCTTTTCGTCCAGAGGCAACAGCATTACGGGAATTCAACCAAGGGGCATCCATGCCCGCGTGCCTGTCCCTGGGAAAATGGACGGCAACTGCATTTCAGCACCGAGACTATCTTTGCATTTGCCCCAACCGAAAAACAACGCATTGGGATTCTTGAGTAGGGACCCTTTGGTGAAAATGATTTGTGTTCGGATTGTGTCCACCGGCCGTCTTTGAAGCAGTCCCCTTCAAAATTCATACCCATACTTAGTGAGCCTTGCAAGTGAGAAGAAAAGCTAGGCGAAAGGTCTCAGACTGACAGAAGCATACTTGGATGTTCGACCTACCAAGTAGGTTTTAACATGTTTTAACTCTGGTTAACAGTGGGGCGGCAGGGGCTAATACCTCACTACAATACGGGGGTTGATTTTAAAAAAAAAACCTGGCCTCCAAATGACCGTGGGTAATTAACTTTTCCCATTAGTGGTTCAAATAGATCTCATATTTTGGTGGAGGTCATCCCATATCGGACCTTTTGATCAACCCCCCTATATGCATGTGGGGCCACAAAGGGGCCGAACCTGCCAGGCCCATAGCGCTTGACAGCTGGGGCCCAAACGGCCATGGCCGCAAAACGGCCATGGCACGCGGGAGGCCATGGGATTGCCGACGCAATTCGATTTTGAAAGCTGCCTGCCGGTGAAAAGGAAAAACCGTGCCGGACTTTTGTTCATGCGGGCCTTCGACTCGCATGCGGAAGGGAAATTGAAGGAAACTGAAAAGAGCAAGGAAATGACGATGATCAGGCAAGCCTGCCACGCGCAATCCGTGTGCGCACTTGTGTTTGCATACGCATGTATCACGTTCGCATATATACACACACATGTGTGACATGTATTTCGTTCCTATACATACACAATCATCTAGCTTCAAGGTGGCAAATATGACACATACACAAACATCCATAAGTCCAACGCAACTAAGTCCAACGCAATTGTATATAATAGATGTATGTCTTTGTATGTCTCGTTATATATGTACGTATTTGTTTGTGTTGGTAACGTGCAGATGTCTATTTGTGTAAGCCGAACATTCTGATCCTTCCAAACATCGCCCTGGCCATAGGAATGCCTCGCAGTGAGCCAAGGAAGCAGCGGTAGTGAAAGGACGCCCTTTCTAAAGTTTCTTCAGGACTGCCAACCAGTTTCAAGAAATGATTCCTGGGCTTTGTAAGGAATTCCAATGGTCTCCCTATGTTTCCCCACGCTCACAGATCATATTATTGATAGTTTGTCGTCGCACTTCCTAAGCGGATTGCTTTTTGGTGTGTATGCCACTGACATGCAGAAAGGGAGTCAGTCAGGATTGAGTGTTGCTCTCGGACGGGAAAACCAACCAACAGGTAGAACAAAAGCCATGTTCCGCATGCTGAATTTAGATGTAATGGTAGTATACAGATATATATATATATATGTATACACATACCTGTTTTTGTTTTGACGGAACCCGTATTTGGATCATTTTCCCGTATGGTCATTTTTTGCTGGCCGGTGGCCGTATTTGGCCGTATGCAACCCGTATTTGTTCAACAAATTGTTGACAAAAAGCCGTAAATAACCGTATGGTCATTTTTTGTGGCCCAAGCCGTATGGACAGAAAAAAAAACGTCACATATGGGTTTCCAGGTATGTATATACATGTGCATTTTCACAGACAATTAATGGAGTGACAGAAAGGGCTTGGAGGTGTCCTTTTGGTAAAATAGACGGGGTTCCGGGAAAATGGATGGCATCAAACCAATCTAAACCAGTGGAACGCGCATCTAACTGACCAAACTATCCTAAACTTCCATTTGCTTTTTCACCCCTGGCAAACATGAGAAAATATGTCCAGTAGTGATAAGCTCCAAAAACCAGCAAGTTTTGGCTTCTTAAAGAAAACTTACGTTCAGCAAATGGAAGTAAAAAGGGCACCAATCCATAGCTCAGCTCCGCCCATTTTGTGGCGAGCTCCGGCCCCAGCGACGGGTGGGTTTGGCCTGAAGCGAGCTTTCCACGGGGCCAGTTGCAACCCGTGACCCTGGTAGGATCATCATTTCGTGAGGAACCCTGCGAACCTCCAGGGGGTGGGGGGGAAGGGAGAGGGGAGGAGGGTGCCATTGCACAACCCTATGGTGGGTAGGGTGTTGTGAAATTGAGGCCGCCCGGTGAATAGGAAGCATCCTTTGCCAGGAGGAACGTCGTAAAGGGGCTCTTTGGAGGATAGCCAAATGGTCAGCTGAACGCCACTTGGATGACCCCCGCAACCCTATTTAGCCAGTCCCCCAAGTAGAGTTTGCCCTGCGCATGTTTGCAGGCGACAAAAAGGGGCGACTTTGCTTCTTCTCTGTCGGTTGCCCGGTGTCAAAAAAAATGGTTGGTTTGATTTTGGCACCCATCCACAAACATGGAGCCTCACAGAAAGGTCCTGGAAGGCTGTTTTTCTTAGGGCCTCCTTGTCTTGGCTACATGTGGAAAAGAGGACATCTGATTTTCAAGACAAAAACCATCCCCGACAATTCCCCGTGCCTCACTGGCCGCGGCCTCGGATCTTGGAAAAAACGACCGAGCATCGGAAGAGTTCTTTGTTGAAACGGCCAAGGTCCGCCGGTCCGCGTCGATTCTTGGAACAACGGTCCCTGCTGTCATTATTTGAACTTCACCCAACGGAAAACAGACTCGAACCACCCAAAAAAAGAGAGCACACCACGATCCTCTGTGGAAAATCGCTCACCTTGGGGAGAAAGAGGCGCCCTCTTGAAATGGAGGCTAGTCTTCCCTCAACGCATGCCGCCCGGCCCGCCTCCGCTGGCCCTGGTGCGGTTGCCTAGCGCTCGGGACGGCAGATTTGCTCAAAGGCTGGTTGCTTTGCGGTCCATATGATGGCCATTTCGAACCCGTCGGGCGGCTGATTTCAATCAAGCAACAACGGTTAAGTATCCCATAACTACCTGGAGCCCCAAAAGGCTGTTCTTTTGGTCAAAAGGCTTTGCCCAAAAAACATGGTCATACAGCCAAATACGGTGTTCTTCGGCTTGTTTTCAATATTTTATCAATAAATATTGGTTTTATACGGCCAAATACGGGCAAATGTGGCAAATGACCGAAAAAAGCAACCTTACGGGCAAAAACAGGCCAACTACGCCTTTTGACCAAAAAAAAAAGAGTGGCCGTTCGGGGTTCCAGGTACGGATTCATACCAGGGGGTCATATGTTCAGCCTTTGATTTGCTGGTGCTTGGGACTCTCGTCCCCCAATGTCCGATCTGCTGTTTTGTGGTAGGAAGGGTGACGTTTGTTCATTTGCGAGATCCGTCACCAAAAGCAAACTGGATAAGGGCCTCAACAATTTGCTGTTGGGTAAGCATATCTAAACCAAAAGCGGTGAATTTGTTGCCGTCTTGTTGAACCCAATTGTTGGTCTTGTACTTGGCGAAGTGGCTAGCGACTCAACAAAGGGCCCAGAAAGACAGATTACCCTTTTGGGGCCATGGCATGGACCAAAAACAGGAACTAAGAGGTAAAAAGGTCAATTCGACTTGGGCAAGCGAGGCAACCTCCAGTTCAGCCCCACTTAAACCCAGCTGGTGACCATCTAGCCAACGCGGCCAAGGTTTTTTGCCTTCTGCCCCCCTGGTTGAAATATTGAAACCCGCCGTTGAGAACAGCCAAAACCTACACAGGTTGAACCATTCTGGTCAAACTAGCTGGCACCTTAGATATTCTTCTTGAAGGTGTGCGGGTAGCTTTCCACACCCTTTGCACTAGACCCCTGGGCCAAAGCGCCCACTCACTCGCTCGACGCGTTCGAAGACCATAGGCCGTACAAGGAGGTTGACCGTGGCACATATACGGGAGTGTCGTTATTTGGAGTTGGGTCCGCCCTTTTGTGGGTTCAAAGCAAAACCCAAAGGACAACCATTTTGGGGGTCCCCTGAAAATGACATCCGTATGAGAGGGTTGCTCAAGCTGGTGAAACCGCTTTTGGTCGGTAGTTACCGTCCAAAAGGTTAGTGGTAAGCAATCCCTGGCTGGCCGCAATTATTTTTTAACATGTGCGGAATTGAAATACAAGCCATTGGTAGCTAACTGTTCAATAATCCAAGTGCCTTTAGGGTACTTTAGGCAGACAGCCCTAGGAAAAGAAGTAGATGGCACAATCCCAACCATTTTGGTCTAGTCGCCCCTGTACTCACCAAAGAGCGAAAAAGCACTCAGAATAAGATCACATTGTTCAACGGCTTTGTTCATTTTTAGTGTTCAAGGAGCAAAGTCTCTGTCGCATACCGCAACTGTAGCCACAAGGTCGCAGACCGGTACATTAAGGTGCCACTGAGGGGTCCAAGCGTGAGCGCGGCATTTAACCAGAGAGAGGCGATCCGTCCACCACTTACGGATGAAGATCCAGCGTGTGATCGCCGCCCTAAATTTCATAGCAGCGACGCAAAGGGACTGTCGGATAACGACACCGTCAAAAAATGCGGTCCAAAAATCGAGCGGCACAGACTCAAAGGGCAAAGCATCGATAGTCAGCGCAAACGGTTGGGCTGGAAGGACCCAAAACCACGTGTCAGGAGCAAAGCAAACGGGGCCCCACATGCAAGGACTGTACGGGACAAGCTTATACGGCCTGTGATCTGTGGTCATGGTTCCCTTAATAGGAATGATTGTACTGGTTATTCAGGATTCCTACACCCAAAGAAAAGCAACCGGTGTACTTCCCCATACTGTGGATGGACGAAGTCCCTTCGCACCATTGATGAAACCATGGCTGAAACCATAAGGTTTGGAGACACACCATTGGTATATACTTTGGGGTTCTCCCTTTGGAGTCATTGGCTGAAACCATGTTGCTGTTTACGTCAGGGGGCCCGTGTCATCCGATGGCCTCCGGACCTTTGAGCTGCATCAGCACCCCTCCCGGCGCCAGCTGCGCCTCCGCCTGAGGTTTTGGCCGTGGCCCGGGCGTTTTGGGAGTTGGAGTCCTGTTGGTGGAAACCCAAAGGCTACCAGCCTTTGGGTCTCCAGATTTGAGAGGCTAGAATAAGTTGGTACCCGATTGTTGTCTGTAGTCTGTTTTAGTAGGGGAACCCTCCCCAGAAAAAGTGGTACAGTAAAAGCGCACTACTGGGGGAAGTCAGGACAACTGATCTTTTTGAAAGGCCCCCCTTAAAAAAAGAAAAAAAGGAAAAAAACGTGGTCATGTGCACTACGGGCCCAAGAAGACAACAAAAGGAAACCTAAAAATGAGGCCGACTGAGAGAACCCACCGCGAACCAGGGAAGCCCCGGAACGCCTGCGCCAGGTTAATAGCTCGCATTTGATCCAAACGCCTCTGCAAAGAGCCAAAGGGGCAATTCGTAGCATGCGAAGTACATGGGCTTGTTGTGTTGCTACTGTTTTCTCCTCTATCTCTCTTCTTTCTGTCTCTCTCTCTCTCTCTCTCTCTCTCTCTCTCTCTCTCTCTCTCTCTCTCTCTCTCTCTCTTCTCTCTCTCTCTATATCTCTCTCTCTCTCTCTCTCTTTCTCTCTCTCTCTCTCTCTGCAGCACTGTCCCAGTTTACATATCGTCATGGTTCCCGATATCCCCTCGCTTTAAGACACTCACTGAACGTGGTCGCTACTTGGGGATCCAATCCTCAATGGGAAAAACCCTATTAATCAACCCCTGTTTATTATGGAGGTGTCCTGGTTTTAGTGGGGATTTATCACTTTTGGAGGGGAACACCCCCATATTAATAAACAGGGGTTGACTAATAGGGGGTCAACATTACCTCTTTTGGAATCATAGCAGTTCCAGGGGGCGTTGCAGGGGCGTTGCAAGCAGCTTCACCGGGGGGTATCGGGCCAACTGAAGGTTCGCCCGGGCCGCACTTCGCAAACTTCCCAGCTTGGCCCCGAGAAGAGTTCGGGCCCCTTCCGTACAGGATTTCCCTAGAAACGGGAGCACGGCCATCCATATAGACCATTCGCAGTTTAGTCCTTACAGAACTCCTAGCTCCGAGCCCGGCTCCCCTCCAACCAAAGAGGAGTTCATTTTAGAACCCTACTGCGGATGGACGATATCCATTTCGCACCGTTGTTGGCTGGCATGTACAGGGGAATCGAATCGTTCCAGGGTTCCTTAGGTGGTGCAGGATTTCGTCCATCCACAGTATGTAGCAAACCACTGACAATTGTTTGCTGCCTACATAGCCAACTAAAACTGAACAGCCCAACCACAACAAAAAAATGAAGAACAAAAAAAACGCTTCCCAACAGCAGGTGATTGAACCAGGTAAACAAAAAGTCACCTCTCTTGTTCCGAGACAACCAAAACCAAACCAACCCCAAAGAAGGACACTGGGACTTGACCCGGCCTCCGCATAGCCGACCCAGCCGCCGTCCAGGGCCTCTTCCACCCGGCCGTCCTGTTTTTGGGCGGAACAGATGGGCCATTCCGTGAATCAAAAAAAACAACGACCCTACAAAGTGTGGTTTTTCCAAGAGCCCGAACGGAAGGGTAGAGGGTACTCCTAGAATACAGTAAGCCTACCATTCTCAACCACAAAACCACCATAAATTGCGGTAAAATCGAGGGTTCCCTTGTTCCCTTACTTGCAATATTCAGGGCATCCAGCCGGGTGAACACTTCGAACTGCGGGGACTGACCCGACCACCTTACACCCGACCTGAAACCCTATATGGCCGTTTTTTAGGTCACACTATAGATTCAAGGGTTACCGGTTTGGGGCCCAAAAGGAAACAACAAACCGTCCAAGTGCGCTGCTCGCACATTTTCACGCTTGAACAGCCACACTGCGGATGCAATGGATGTAAAACCCCATACTGACCGATCAAATTCTTCACCCCCCTCTGCGTGTTAAAGGGGCCTTTCACAAAGCAGCCAAACAGTAACACAGAGGGAGAAGGTCAGGGGAACCATTGACACATGCAAACCATGACAGTTGCGCTTTTAGCGCCACTGCCACGTAGAGTAGTTTCCGCTACTGTTGTCCCATCCGCTCCATCCGGACCAGTTCTGCCAGCTGCCTTGGCTCCAATGCTCACCCTCGCGGGCGGCGGGAGCACGTGTTTCGGCATAGCGAGCGGCGTTGCGAGCGAGGTGCTTGCTGCTCTCGTTCCTCGAAAATTCAATCGAGTTACGAGCATAACGCTCATTCTGGCTGAAAACCCAGTCCATCTCGTGGCGGAGGTCCTCCAACGTGTTGCTCCGCACATGGATGATGCCATTCCAACAACCAATGCTGCGAGGCTTGTCTTGCTCGAAGACCACGTTGATAAAAGCCCTTGGGCTGTAAGGCATTCCTTGAAACATAATGATCCAGGGAGGAAAGCGCATCTTGAAGTTCGCTGGGCAGGAACTCCAACTCCGTCTTGACATACGCGAGCCTTGCGATTCGCGACTCCGAAGTTGATCCAAGGCCAACTCCCAGAGTGCGCTGGGCTTGCGACTGCTTTGGAGCAGCCAAGACGAGATTTGCACACAACTCCATGCGGAGCATGTCCGCCTCCCGACGGCCCACCTCAAGCATACGAACCCTGTATTGGAGGTCGAGTTCGTAGCGATCGAGCAGAGAGTGGTAGCCGTTCTTCAGAGCGGACTTGTGCTTCTTCCGGGCTTCCTGAATAACAGCACTGTCCGGGGAGTTCAAGCCACGAATGATGCTGCTACGATCCTCCTCGCGGAGGTCAAAAGTTCCAACGGATGCCAAAACCTGGGCTGTGACGTGGGTGCTGAGGCCCATCTTCTTCAGCAAATTGGAACGCTGCACAATGTAATTCCTCTGCTGTTCTTTCAGCAGCCGAGGATTGAGGGGAGACAACTGCCCACATGACGAGCAATGGACCTGCCCCTCGAACACACTGTTGTTGCAGACCGGGCACGCGGCGACATTCATCTCAACGTTCTCCATTGGGTTGAAAGTCTTCTGTCTCTTCGCTTCCCCTTGCGGGGCGCGAGGAGACGCCACATTGGTGCGGGTTGTAGCAATACGCTCCAGTGCTGTAGATCGATCATCAACCACGGCTTGCTCGCGCTTCATGCCCTGCGATTCATCCTCATTCGCAGCTGGTGCACCTGCATCCGATTGCTCGGAGCGAGTGTACCATACATCGCCATTTGTAGCGTCCAATACCGAAATGATCGTGTAATTGGGCACCTTGTCGCGCGTAAGGACGCCGTCGCTCTCAGCCTTGAAAAAGCAAAGCCCTGCGCGAATGGCCATCCTGAGGTCGATCTGTATCTCCAAGGGCTTGTTAGCACGTACACCTGAGATGTAATTTTCATTCGTGCTCGGAATGTCAGCGAAGAAAACGTGAGGTCTGCCTGTCTCGTGCTGGTCCCCTCCTCCTGGAAGCAGTCCGTTTCGCATAATGCTGGCGAAGTTCCGCTTATCGGTGCGATGATAGAGCACCGTAGGAGGGTTGCTGCAGACGTTCCAGCCGGACCAGCGCCCGAGGTCAGTCCCCGGGTTCACGTACCACTCCTTCGCGATGCCGGAGTCGTCGATTTGGAGCCAGTCCTCATGTCCCTGAGAGGCCTTTATCTTGAAAAGCCAATGCGAACATGGGACGTCTCCGCACCGGCCTGCGTCCGGGCAACCAAGCGCAATGCACCTCTGCTTTTTGTCCAGCTTGAAGATGTCCATGATATTCTGAATATTCCATGGAATGGGATGTCGCAGCTCCTTGCGAAGCGCGAGTCCCAGGTCTTCGAGGTCCATGTAGCCGTCCTCATCCATCACGTACCCGCATCCTTCTGTTCCACGACCACGGAGGATCTTGGAGATGCACGTCAGGGAACTGTGGTACTCATTGCTGATTCTCCTGACGGAAGGGTCGTAATCAAAAGAGGGCTGCTTGATGATGTCGAGTCTCTTGGGGCCCTCACCGTAGTCGACATACTTCACGCCGTCATGAATGCTATACACCCAGCAGTCGTAATGGCCTCCAGTCACGTTCCTCCCGTAGGAGTCGAGTGGTACCGGTCTGCTTGCCGCCTCGTCCCTCTGTGCCACCGCAGCCGCCTTTGCACCGGCTTGCGCCGGGCGAACACTTTCGGAAACATCTGCGCCGGAAGGCTCACCTGAAGTTGCAAATTCGGCTGGATTGACGGGGGCGAAATCGAGGGGCTGCCGGACCTCCACTTCTTCACGGGTGAATGGGAGCCCGATCATCTCTGACAAAGAAACACCGCACTTCGTTAGCGTTTCCTTGCAGTACGCGAGAACCTCAACGTTGACTGTGCAATCCTCTTGGTGGCGCACCTCGAGCACATCGATCGGACGCGTAGTGCAATCATGCGAACGTGTCAGCTCGGCTACGCTGCCCATTGCGGGGCGCAAGATGGAAAGCATATACAACATGTGATGGGTTCCGCGCATAAACTGGACAGTCTTCGTGATGTTGTCGTCACTGAAGCACATATGATACCTGTCCAGCAAATCGATGGTCTCGACAAAGGGTGTAGCATCGACGTACACAAACATTTGATTGGGGTCGCCGATGATGTAATCCCGGACTTCCGTCATGAAACGGTCCCAAATCATAGAAAAGCCGTAGAGATAGCTCTTCGCGCCGGTCATGACTCCAAGGCATGCGCAGCCCTTGCGGGCCGCGAAATCCCTGGTCCAGGCCAGGTGCCGTTTGGAGTCAGCGAGAAGTTGCTCTGCATCGCCGGTGGGGGTATCATAAGGATATGTACCCGTGGGCTCGAGGCCGTCCTTCCCGACGAGCTCGTTGCCATTCCAGTAAATCATCGGAATGATGGTGGCAGCTGGGTGGTCGGTACGCACCTCGTCGATAAGGGCGGCCAACCGCTTGCACAGCTGCTGTAAGCCCTTGCCCCAAAGCATTTCTGACCTCCATGCACCGACACGCGCCGGGCGAGAGGCATCCAACCGCTCCGCAAAGTCGTACTTGCGAAGCTTGCGCTTCTTGCCCGAAACCATGGACAGTCCTGAATCAGCGACAGTCACATAGATAAGGAGGTCGCGATCTGGTACACGTGGGGCCTGCAAAACCTTCAAGTACGGTTCGCTTATAGTTAACAGGGGTGTAAGCAATTGCAGGCGTCGTATTTGCCGTTCGTGCATACCGATGTGGTAGCGACATTCTCCATCCACCTCCTCCATGCCGGATCGCAATCCCTCGCGGGATGCGCCATAGCCGTCGCGCTGCTCATTGCGAAAAGGATGCAGCACAATCACTCGAAAGCAACGGCTGCATGGTGGCATGTTCGGAAAATGCATTGTGAACGGCATCAGTGTAAACATACGTGTATCCCTCGGCTTCCTTCAAATGCGTGCCACGGCTTTCATCATGCTCGTGAGAACCATCACACTTGAAGCACTCAACCACGGAAATAGTGGGCATATTACTGGCAACGACCCATTGCTTTTTCATAGGCTTTCCATTTCTCCCTTTAATGCCGATTTTGCAACCATGGAATTCGTACTTGTTCATCTTGTACTTAGTCAAGAAACTCCATAGTTCGGGCCATTTCCAATAACGACACGCCTTGGGAAGTTCGAATGCAACTCTAACGTCATCAGAATAGACATCATTGAGAATGCGTTTGAACCCTCTCAACAGTGATCGGAATTGCTTGATGTGGCCCTCGATCTTGGCGGCACCTTTGGGAGTTTGCTGGTTGACATAACCCCACGGGCATCCTCCAGTGCATGGCAACGAAACATAGAACATTATAGCACCCTTAGGATTCTTACTCCTGAATTCGGCAATTTCATGGACTAACCACTGCCTGCACGTGTCAGAGCACCCGTCTTCGGTTTCAGTTACCCGAATGACACGACAACCTTTTGAAGAGTCTCTTGATTCGCCCAACCGTGAGGTCGTCGAACAACAGAATTCAATAAGGAGGCGCTTGGGCTGAGCGTTGCATAACGCAGCGATCTGCCCCCCCTGATCACTAACTTCTCCGGCCTTGGCGCATGGAGAGAGCAGCAAACTGGTGGCACAGGCTCGCGCCTGGCGATTGGGGGAGATACCGATCAGCTCAAGTGCATGGTGCCACACTGGGGTGCTGTCAAACGCCTTGGTCAAGATGTCTGCAGCTTGGAGGGTAGTGTCAACATTGATTAATTCGAACTGCCTATTCACGAATTGCTCCTGGAGCCATCTAAAGCTGATGCGTTGGGTCCTATCCGTGTGCCTTAGCTTCTGTGAGTGTCCCTGCTGCAGGATAGTGATCGTGGCCTGATTGTCTTCCATCAGCTTAACTTTCCACTTATCACTGAGATGCACAGTTAGGGCATTGATGTTCGCTACACTCGTGCCCGCATCAACATTTCCGTACCGAATTTCATCCAACTCGGGGTCAATGCGAGCGACAATGCCATCGGGCACATCAAGGGAGGCTTTTCCCGCCTTTTGAGCATACCCATGT